GTCTCTTGATCATCAGCTCACCATCCCACAGCTCACCCACACGTCCCCTCTGTTGATTGCCTCATATCCACACACCAGTTAATTCTCCAAACTGAATTTACCCTAATAAACAATGGCTCAAATAGGGTTGGTATGTATGCGGTCTGGTTGTTTACCTCTGTTTGCTATTCGCTGGTTTTACATTCTCTTGGCTGTTATTTAAGTAGGTTTTAGGAAGGGAGTGAAGGTAGATGGGTGTTTTAAATTAATCACTGTTATGTGGAAGCACCCAGCATTTCATAAAAAGACTGGCGTGTTTTGCACTGTTCCTAGTTGCATTCCCCTATGTAGATCCAAGTCTCAGGGTGGACCCAAAGCCCGTGTATACACTGGCATTGCTAAATACATTTACAAGACTTAAAAGAGTGGAAAGTAGGTAGTTCAGCAATCCCTGTGGGGGCGCCTGGCTGGCTCAGTTGGAAGAGTGTGAGACTCGATCTCAGGGTCATGAGTTTGAGCCCCATGTTGGGTATAGGGATTACTTAAAAACAAAAACAAAAACAAAAACAAAAAAAAACAACTTAGATCCTTGTGGTTGCTAAATACATACTGAATGAGAGGCTGCCTGTATATGCTTTGCTCCTTCTTTCTGCACATTCCTCCAAGATTGTCCATCCGGCCAACTCTTCCCTTTGTAAAGTCTCAGCCTAAACCCTTCCTTCCCTGATTCTCCAGGACTGGCAGATGTTGCAGCCGTACCAACATTAACCCAATCAGAATTGCCATTTGTAACTGCTACTCTGAATGTCTGTCTCTTCATTCGATTTTAAGCTTCTTGAAGGCAGGATTGTGCCACTATATCTTTGTACCCTCTGCACCAGCAGAAGGACTCAATAAAATACTCCTGAAGTGAATGAAAGAATGCTGTACACTGAGGAAGCTATTAAGATGAATTAGATATGAATTCTGCACTCAAAATACTTACAATCCAGTAAGAGAGAGAATGCACATAAAAACACATAAGGCAGAAGTACCAAGTACCATAACAGGGATAAAAATCAAACTCTGTGGCTATGCAAAGGAGGGAAGCAATTCCACTCAGGTGGAGGAATCTCTGAGATGTTGAGAATATCTAGGATTTCCCATTTTATTTATTTTTAAAAGATTTTATTTTATTTTTTTAAAGAATTTGTTTGTTTATTTGACGGAGAGAGACACAGTGAGAGAGGGAAAACAAGCAGGGGGAGTGGGAGAGGGAGAAGCAGGCTTCCCGCTGAGCAGGGAGCCCAACACTCCTGGGGCTCGATCCCAGGACCCCGGGATCATGACCTGAGCCGAAGGCAGACGCTTAATGACTGAGCCACCCAGGCGCCCCTAAAGATTTTATTTTTTATTTTTTTAAAGATTTCATTTATTTAT